GTTAATTTAATCACTGATGCATTTAATTGTGTTGTCTTATTATATATATATATATATATATATATATATAGAAGAAGTATCATTTTATACAAAGACTTTTAGAATTTTATTACTGTGAATTTGTAAAACTTATAAAATACAGTCGTATAAAGTTGCACTGTAAACGGAAACTAGTACATTGACTATATAAACACATGGAAAAGCTATGAAATAACTCCTGAGGGCAAATTCTATCAACACACCAAAGGTCTTGATCGAATCAGTCAAGCCACCAGTTCCCAAATTACTTATGGTGACCATTTGTGGACAGGGTTCCGCCACAGAAACAGGGGCAACATTTACCTGGTTTTGCCGGTGCACAGCACACGCACTGTGGACAGTACAGACGATCTCCATGGAAACCTGCAAAAAGCTTTTGTTATCAGGGACTTTAAATTACTATAAAGACCAGAATATTTATACATATGAATGAATACATACCATTGGTAAATCGAGCGGCTTCACATGATAGCATCGGAGTGAAGACAACGACAAAGATGAAAAGGGTTACCAGCACAGAACTTGTAGGGTTGCCTGCTGCCATATTTTATCAACTTTCAAACTATATTATTCAGAATGGGCTTGCATTATTTCATTTGGAGCATACTAATTTATAGGGCTATAAGATTAACGTATATGATGGGCAGTCAATGTGTATTTAAAACCAATTTCATTCGATTATTCCTGTTAGTCTTCTGAAATGAAACTTCGTAGCATCAACCTAGAATTCATTCTTTTGTATATTCAAATTAGTTATTAATATGAAACTTTGAATCCACGTCCCTTGCTTTGCAAAAGCTTGTCCACCTCTCTTAAGACTTTATTGAATCTGACTTTGCTTGACTAAGTATTTAGACTATGACAGATACCAAAGTTTGGGGCAATTTCTTGTTATTGGAAATTAACCTGAAAACAAATGTATATGAAAATCAGAATCAATATGACAGATATTGACGACCCATCGTGGTAAGTAAGGTGAAGAAATGAATTTTAGAGGCATGGGCAGTGGCGGACCCAGCCCATTAGAGGGTAGGCTACGCCTAGCGTCACATTTAAAAAAAAGGCCAAAAAAAAAAAAAAAAAAAAATTGTTTATATAGGCCATAATTTTTTTTATTAATATGTATATTTAAGCCTACCTTCAAATTCTATAAAAATGAAAAATATTATACGTATATATCTAGATTCATAAAAAACTTGTTATTAATATATATATTCTACGTCTATATCATATTAAAAGTTTAAAACTCTCTCCATTCTTTTTTACGCCCACATGTTTTTTATGATTTTATCCTTAAAATTCTTTACTCTCTCATTTTCTCTTTCACTTTCTTTATGTTATTCGTTCTTAAAACTTTTGAAGATTGAAATTATTGATGCTTTCACTAATCAAGGTGCCACAATTAGATTCGTTTTCTGTTTTATCAGTTTTAGGTATGTCATATGTGTATTACTCATTTCATTTTAGTTTATTTTAGGGTTGAATCATGCTTATTTTTTGGAGGTTTTTTATTCTAATTTGATGGGAAAAGGCATAGATCTTGTGAGTTTGTTTTATGTTTAAAAATGTTCCTACTTTGGCAAATTAAATCTTAACTATATTTTACTGAACGTTATTCTTCACCCTTCACCCACCACTTTCCTACATTTCAAATGTCACCATTTAACTGTTCAAAATTATTAAAGAAGTTTGAGTTATTATCTATGTTTATACTAAGAAAATTTTCTTTTTTTTTATTAATTCATATTAAAAGTCAAGACAACGTTAACTTAATTTAAGTTTTAGTTGACTTTAGCTAGTTGACTTTAGCTTAGGCTAGGCAGCTGATCAAAATTATAAAAATTTATATTATAATCTTTGAAAGCTAAAAAAAAAAAAAAAAAAAAATAAAATAGAGGAGAAATAAGAAATTTGTGTACAACATTTTTGGTAGATTGTGATATTTGTAAACTCTTTTAATTATATTGGATTTAAGTGGATCGTTAGATTCTCATGGTCTTTTGCTCTCTTTAATTGAAGAGGTTTTTCCACGTAAAAATTTTCTTGTGTTTCCTCGTGAATTGGATGTTATTTTCAATATAATTTGTTCAATGCTTTGCTTCTCATAGATTTATTCAAGTGGTAAAGTATTGTATTATTACATTATTTTCTTTCAGATTATTGATATTGTATTATTTTCTTTGCTTAAGGTTTGATATTTTTTTTAAGTTTTTACTAATTGTTTGACAAACAATGGCAGAGTCACAAAGGCCCCCCTGAACAAAAATACTGGGTCCGCCTTCGGGCATGGGAGACTTGAACATTCTTAGAACTTGATAAAATTAATGGTTTTTTACTTCTAGTTTAATCAATTGTGTTATTTACTTCTGGTTTTTTCCATTGTCAACATTACAATGACTTTTAGTATGTGTTTCACGATATCCCTATATATGAACTCAGAGCTGGAAGCTTTGTTTATTTCTATAAAGCAATTGTAATTGACCCAAAAAAAAAAAAAAAAAAAAAAAGGAAAATGCTAAGAGTCTTTAGACCAACAGTTGAATAATTTTTATTAAATTTTAATCGTCATAATTACTAGTTTTTATTCGATAATTAATGCGTGATTGATGTCTCAACTATTGATAGATCCAGATACATGGTAGATGAGTTCCTAGAGGTATTGTCTGCTTTGAACCCTGAGATTCGCACGGTTTTATCCTAAAAATGCATCTCTGAGTGATGAGGGTACCCTTGCTATATAAACGATCAAGACCCTGTGAAACTTTGACACCAACAATAATATTATTAAATTTCATATTCTCTCTGATGCAGATGTTTGTATTTTTCTTTAGAATAATAACCTTGTTTACTAGAGCATGTTAGCTAATGATTTATATATTACAGCTTTTTATATAAAAATACAAAATTTCAATCAAACTTTTAGAATTTTTAATTATTCAAAAGAGTAAATCGAGCTGCTTCATATGGTAACGATATTGGAAGGAACACCATGGCGAAGGTGAAGAGTACAAACCTTGAATTGCTGCTGCTTGCCATGGCTTATGAGATATGAGAAAACTATATTGTAACAATTAATGAAGTGTAGTTTATAATTCTTTTAATTGTTCTTTTTTATGTGAATTAATGGATGTTTAGTAAGGATTTTGTTACAGGTAATTTATTTACATTATTAAGTAAATCAATCTTTAAAATTTGGGGTTTGACAATCTTTAGTTTTTAAATCTCGCAAATTGCAACTTCATATAAATTCTTGAATTTTGAATAGACTAAAGTTTTTTCAATTTATCATGGACCTTTTCTATGAAATTGAAACAATCTAGACTAATAAGAAATCAAAAACAGTAAAGATACATAGGTAAAGAGAAAGAAAAATATGTGCGATTTATCCTGATTCATTTAATTAACAAGCTACGTCTAACAAAGTCAGTATTATTGAAATACTGTCTCACCTCTCTCATTACAATAAATGTAATTTGTCATATGATTTGCTATTATATTTATACAAGAGAAAAATAAGTTATATACTAGGTTTAAAGAGTAAAATCTAATATTACAAAGATCTCTTTTCTTAAGTTTAGATCTAATTAAGAATTAATTACTTAGATAAATTCTTCACGGGACTCCCTGCCCATTGATTGGGCAGCAAAACCCACGAATGTATTCACATGGCCCCTTATTGTTAAAGTTTTCAACAACCCCAATAGAAATTTTATAAATTCTTAAATGTTGAATTGATTGAACCTTCTATCTTATATACATGAATGTTGATATTTAAATATTCATATATACAGTTTATACATATATTGAAGATTAAAACACTGTTATTTTTATTTTAAATAAGTCTCCCATCGTTTTTCTGAAGTTAATAAGAGACTGATTTTCATGATTAAATCAATATTGTCCCATATTTTTATGCCTTAATTGGTCTTCAATATGAAATAAGATCATACATTAATTAATTAGGGAATTTAGCAATGTAATCTGAGAGTTGGGCCTCATTGGGCTTTACATGGGCTTGCGAAAGTGCCCAATGAAATTAATGGAACGTTTATTTAATTATATTTAACAAATTTAATTTAGAGTAATCTTGTAGACCTCCCACATTTTATCTTTTAAAGTTTAAACCCCATTTCCAAGTTTATCCCATTAAATATTTTAGCATATGCAAATGCCTCATAAACCCTATCTACTTTCGAAAATACCCTTTTATTTATATTTTCAATATTTTTTATTAAAGATGAAATTCATTCACATGTGTTTCTTGTATGTTGAAAGAAGGAGAAGAAGAAAGAAATGAGTGGGACCGTGTGTTGAAACACAGAGAAAATTTAATTAATAAAGTTGAATTGCATGAGCCAAACAGACTAAGAAAGATATGGAAATGATAAACAAGCAAGAAAATTGTGTTCTGGAATCAAACTACAGAACATTTAAAAGAAAGAAAAAAAAAAACCCAGAAATCATAATGTATTGATTATACACTTGCATCACTCTAAACCATGCTTACAACCCACATTTTAGTCATCTTGAGAAGTTCTATTTATATCTTATACAGCTTCAACACCTCAGGAGCTTCCTCTTTATAACAGTCCACAAACTTGTCCCAGAACAACTTCTCTGGAGTCTCAAACAATTTAGGCAAGTAAAGGTTTTCCTTCACCAAACCTTTTGACAACAGAAACTGAAAGACAGGTGCCCCTTGGAACAATTCTCTTTTCCAGGCTCAAAGTAATAAGTCCTGGGCGTTTGACAATAACCGAAGGATCTGAACCCATTTTACTGACAAAAAAATCCATTACTGCCTTAATCTTAAACTCAGATGCCATCATAAACCATGGATTCCTCCCAAATGCTTCAAAAATCTCTTCCTCAGAAAAACTCCATTTCTTATAGAAAATTGCAATTTGGATTTTACAATGTAAGGATTCTACAAATAATGCATCCATGTTTCTACACAATGATTATTTTGGCTTTTCTAAAGGATTCAACTTCTCTTGGTACCGCTTCAATAATTGGGGAGCTTCATCATAAGAATTCACAGATTTCTGCAGGAACGTGTTTTCAGGGCACTCAAACATATAAGTCAAACTATTTATCTTTTTATTGATCAAACCTTTCGATGACAGAAACTGAATTATTGCAGCCCTAGGTATAAGTCTCTTCTCCAAGCTCAGTGTTATAAGTACTGGGTGCTCTGAGATAATGGAAGAATACCAACCCATCTTGTTCACGAAAAAGTCCATTGCCGCCGTAATCTTATCCACTGATGCAATCATACACCATGGATACTTTGAAAATGCCGCTAAAACCTCTTTGTCAGACCAACCCCATTTCTTATAAACATCGAGTTTCCTTTCCCAGTGCGACTTGCTCATTATTCTTTTCGCTACAATGGCTAGAACAAACTGTATCTTCAAAGGACTGATACCCATTTCCTTGACTTCCTTCACAGTTTCTTTAAATTGATCCGATTTTGCTAAGAATGAGTGAGGCCAATGACACAAAAACGTGGAAATCTTGGCCTCAGGCACACCATAATATCGCAAAATGTCAATCTTAGGTCCTATATAAGTTTCAAGAATGCATGGAGAGTTTTTAATAACAGTAATAGCCCTTTCACTAGATTGAAGCAAGTTACTAAGGTAATGAAAGGAAGGGATTATTTGGTTTTTTAAGCTCCTTTGAATGACATTACGTCTACGACATAAAAGTTTTGCAAGATCACGACTGGAAACGCCTTTGGAGTGAAAAAAACTCAAGTTTTGGCAAAAGGGTTTTCTCAGGATTGCACAAAAGCAGTTTTGGGCATTTTCTCATGAGGCCTGAGATTTGGGTTTCTAAGAAGCCACTGCTCTGGAAAAGGTTTACCACTAAGTCCGGTTTTTCTGGAGTATAAAATTGAACTATTTTGGATGCCTTTAGAGCAGATTCAGAAGACAACCCACATGAATTAATAAGGTATGAGACGGTAAAAGAATGTTCATTTGAGTTGGTTGAGATGTATTTTACTAAAATTGGTCACGAAAAATCTTGAAATTTATTAGGGTTTAATAAAGCTAAGTTAGCGTATCTTCCATGAACATGAAGTAAATTTCTAAAGAGAAAATTAAACATCATAGTTGCAAAAGTGATTGAATAAACTCACCTATGCTTGAGATTGAGAGTTGAGAAAATTTCTTTAAAATCTTGCCATTGAACTTCAAATCTTCAACAGGTGAAAGTAAAGCCCTGATAAGTTAAGAACTGCAGGCGGACTTGACATATCTTTCGGCGGTCCCAATGATGCGCCACCGTATTGTTCAAATTAGGTAATGGTATTATTTTGCCAATGGACTTAAGATAATATTACACCCCCTGTAACTTTTAAATGACTTTTGTCACCCATAACTGCAAGAAATACCAAGTACACCCCCTCCCCTTAGAATTTTCCGTAAAAATTAGACTTCAATCACCAATCAATATGTTGATTTCTAATCGTTATTAATTTTTAATCAAACGTATTTTGTTATTATAAGAGTAATATTATACTTACAAGTACTTTATTCAAAGTTATCTACATAAAGTTAGAGATGGTCAAGGACTAGTCCCAAGCAGGCGGGATTGGTCCCAAATGAGACCAGTTACTCATGGGCCTGGGACCGGTCCCTGGCCCATGAGAAATATGAGGACCCGGACCGTTCTCTAAGACTGGTCCTATGGGCCCAGGATCAATCTTATGGGCCTGGATAATTTCTTTTCCCCCAATTCATTTTTTATATTTTAGGGGCCAAATAAAATTTTATAGGGGGTTTTTAGTATTTTTTAGGGGTAGATTAGTAAGTTTCTAAAAATTTAATTAATTTTAAAAAATAATAAATTTTAATTTTTAACATAAATTCACATTTTACACATTCACGTTTCACAAATAAATAATTAAATAAATTTTTTTATTAAATTATTCATTGTCATCGTCAACAATATTTACGTCATTCAAATATGTATTCCTAAAGAGTTCGAGTAGTTCGGAATCTTCAGGGTGCTGTTGTAGTCTTCTTTCTGCATGAGTCCAATCCCATAAACACGTTATCACTTCAATCATCTCATCAGTTAAAGAAAATCTTCTGTCTTCAACAATCCGACCACTCGTTGAAAATGTTGACTCGGATGCAATTGTAGAAACCGGCATAGATAAAATGTCACATGTCATTAGGGCTACAATGGGGAATCGACTTTCATGTTGGTTCCACCATTGAAGAATATCCATATCATGTTGCTTCTTCATCGTCATAAAGGACAAGTTGACTTGTAGGTAGCGATTTAGCTCATTTGATCCATGTATGTACGAGCTGGAGCTGCTACTTCCGCCACGTTCCACATACGTCCACTTGCTCGATCTTTGACGAAGGGCTACATTAAGGTCCTAATCCTCTCTCCTGAATAATCCTCTCTCCTGAACGTTTCACTTTTACTTCCACTTCCATTGTACCTGTTCTCATATAAAGAAAAAAGGCTATCCAATTTTTGTTTAAAATTAGTCAAATAAGACGTATAATCATGTCCTAAATGTTGGCCTAACTCAGTAATTATACAGTTACCTACGTATAATTTAAACCTAGGATCTAGAACAAGGTCTAATACATATAAGAATGGAATATCTAACCAATATTTCTCATATTTTTCTTCCATCTTTAAAACAATTTCCCTTAAATCGTTATTATATCTATATTCAGCAAAAGTTTTGGCAATTTGAAGTAAAATATCTAACACTAAATTAGTAGTCGGATAATAAATACCACTTAATCTATTAGTAGCATCATAAAAAATTTGAAGAAATTGATAAAAAAGTTCACAAACCGCCCAATCATCATAGCTGACAACTTCCTCTGGATAGTGCTTCTGGTTGATGAAATCTGTAATTTGTTTGGCGGTTGGCAAAGCTTTTTCCAACATCAAGTAGGTGGAGTTCCAGCGCATAGGCATGTCCGTACATAACTTCAAAGGTCAAATCGGTGGGTCCTTTTGCTTACAATATTTGACGTACTCCTGCCATCTTTTATTACTACCGTCGACGATAAATCCAATAGTTGCGCGCACCCTCTCCACCTTCGAATGTATAATATCTAAATCTGCTTTAACTATCAAATTGATGATGTGGCAAGCAACATCTCTTGGTGAAAAATTTGCCTTCACCACGCGGATCCAATTTTTTTTCAAATAAAGAGATTGGCGCGGTGTTCGCACTGCATTATCTAGCTTAGTGAGACAACTCTATCATTAATAATATTCTTGCAAAACTCAAGAATTGTAATAAATAGTTTCAGCACTATGTTTTTTCATATAATGGTTTAAAACCCATCAATTTTTTTTGTAAACCCCAATTATGTTCTCTAAGAAATGTACTGTGACAGTTAAAAAATCGGTTTTTTATCTACAAGCCCATATATGTCTGATATAAGTGCAATAGATAATTCCTAAAATTTTGAAATTCGTTTTTAAGTTTTATTTATTTTGTTATAAGTTTTTCTTCTACTTGTACTTCTACTAACAGGGGTATATGCTGGACAAAATATAGTTTTAATCGTATGAATAAAATAAGGATTTTCAGATAAACAAATGGGAGAGTTCGTAGCAACTATGAATCTTGCATTTCCTCTCGTGCAACATGTGCATTGTATTGCATGTTGTGAGAGTTGAGGATTGTGGATTAAAATTAAGTTGAGTTTGAATTGTCTACCTGATCCGCTTGAAGATGTATTCGGCACTACATTTTTGGGGTGCTTCTTCTCCACGTGTCGTCGCATTGTCGAAGTCCCCTTCTCACGCCAATAATGTTCCACGAAATTAGATATCCCACACATTCTTCCCCTCACCATTGACTTTGGCCGTTTTGATTTGTTGAAGTGTCGCATACATCGGACATGACCCTCTTTGACGGTCGGGGGGTTGGGCATGCCCGTGCCTATGATTCGCAGCTCGCATGTGTTTGGCTACACCTCGTCTGACCGAATGTGGTTTGTGGAATTGCAGCTGCTGCCTCTAGAGGAATGATAAAATGGATTGAACCCTTCTATTTCTTCGGTGGATGGAACGTAAAACCATTTGAGGAATCCATTATAAATTTATGATAAAATAATAAATAATTAAAATGAAAAGAAATTAATATATAATATGAAATTATGAATCAGAGATGATATGAAAAATAGAAAAATTGAATAATGTAAATAAATTATAATATAAATATAAATTGAATGAGAATTTGAGTTGAAGATTTAGAGTAGAGAGATTGAGAGAATGAAAGAATGAGAGATTGATTGGTGTGAACAAAATTAAAGGTTTTAGGGTTATTTATAGTGTAGTTGTGGGGGGAAAATGAAAAAAAAAAACTTATAATTATAAGTTTATAACCGTTGGCTGCTCTTGTGACCGTTGGCAGTCAACGGTTATAAAAGGTTAACTTTTTTTTTTAATAAATTTTGTAAAAATTTATTTTAACCCTTATAATTTATGTTTATTTCAAATTTTATAGGGGGTTTTAGTAATTGTACAGGGGACTAAATTGAAAAAATACAAAAAAATTTGGGCCCAAGCCTGGGATTGGAGGAGGGCCCAGTGAAGGGCCCAGACCCTCCTTCTTAGGCTTGGTCCCGTTTTGGGACCAGGCCTTCCAGGACCGGGTTTTTCGGTTGGATTTTTGGACCCAGTCCCAAATATCCACCTCTACATAAAGTGATATGACACTACTTGTGTATTATTATATTATTCACTATTATTTAATGTACATTTATAAATTGGTTTTTCATATTAGTTCTTTCAATTATAATCTAACAGGTTAATTATATTATTTAATGGTTAAAATTCTTTATTTTAATTATTATACTTTTTCTTACCTCAAAAGACACAATTTTTTTTTTCTAATAAATTAATTTAAAGATACCAGAGTAATTAGGAGTGTTTAACGAATAGAGCCGCTCGCGAGTCGACTCGACTCGGCTCGAGTCTGGCTTGTTAACGGCTCGACTCGGTTGTATTAGAGCCAGCTCGGCTCGATTCATGAGAGCAAATGAGCTAAGTTTGAGCTCGCTTCGGCTCGACTCAACTCGGCTCATTCTGCTAGCGGGTCGAATCAAGCTTGAACTCATAGGGGTTTTTTTAAAGAATGAGGGATTAAAATAAAATTTTCAAAGCAAAATGTTTGCATAAATAACAAAGATCCCCCGATTTTAAAAGCCCTAAAAACGCGACTCCCTCACTGTCTGTCATAAAACCTAAATCAATAAATAATTTCAACCAAGTTTTCAGTCGCGTCCATGTCTTTTCTCGTCGTTGTTAGTGTTGGTGGAGAGAGCAGGGGAAACAAGGAGAAAGAAAAGAAGAAAAAAATAAGAGAAACATGAGCCATTAGAGAAAGAGAGAAAAAAGGAGAAAATAAAGGAGTAATTGTTAGAGTCATGAA